TTTCAGTGTATATTTGAACAACCTGGAGAAATATCTGTAGTAGAATATAAATTCAGTAAGTAAATAATGGACTAAAATTATCATGAGTACAAAAGAGATTTGTAAATAATGTTTAATGGGTTGCACAAAGAATGTATTTTGCATGATTTTTATACAGTATTGTGTAACATTTACATACATTAGTAGATGCATGGAAGCATGGAAGACCACACTCAGTTAAACTGTTTGACATATGGCATAAAATAAAAATGTGATTTTGTCAAATGATACTTAGCAATATGTCAAACAACACTGTGCTAATACATGTGTTTATTAGTAATGCAATTTTGAAAGAAAGTATGGATAGGGGGCATATGTGTTAACATTCATTGTTATGCGATCCACAGCACATTAAGACATTTACCTTTGCCAATCCAGCACGGTGAGCACCTTTCGATTCCATATATGCCAAGTATTTGTTAAATTCCCTGAATTCATCCATAGTAGGGTGAAAAGTCATGATTTTACAGCTTGCATTTGGAGGAGGGTCCAACGATTGAGTGGCCATGGCTGCTTGGTGCTATACCTGCTAGTAAGCAAATATTAATTACTGGTGATTAAATATATTTTAATGAAAAATATTTAAAATGGTTTCCAAAGGTTTTATACCAAAGCAGATAAATCTAACTGGTGACAACATTGTATCTCTAAATTATTTTTATCAAATTAATTATTTTTCTCATATTGATTGCATATTAAGAAATACAGAAAGAGGCATACAGGAAATAAGACAAAGGAGAAAAAAGAATATAATAGTGTGGACAAAGCCGACAAATCTGAACACTTTCAAAGGTCATAATTGCTTCCATAGTGTCTACTAATTCAATCATATTACCGTATTTTTCGCACCATAAGACGCACTTTTTTCCCACAAAACGGGGGTGGAAAGTCTGTGCGTCTTATGGAGCGAAGAAAACAGATTATATTTTCCTGTTTTCTTCTCCTAAAAAATTGGTGCGTCTTATGGAGCGAAAAATACGGTAAATATGCTGATCAATCTGAAGTTGGAAATGTAATTTGTAGTACCCTTTGTTATTCAAATAAACTATTACAGAGAGGAGCTCAATATCATTTATGGATTATCTGGATCATGGTAACTGATTCATGTTCTGAGACATCTACATGGTGCACAATGAACTACTGCCCTTCAGTGCACATGTACACAGACCATAAAAGGAAATAAAAGATCTGTGTATGTCTCCCATATCCAGTTTAGTTCTTCCTTCAATAAAGAAAGGTGAGATCTAAGCTAGATAGGCTAAAGCAGTAGTTCCCAACCTTGGGTAACCCAAGTGTTCTCGGACTGCAACTCCAGAAACCTTAGCCAGCAGAGGTAGTGAAGGCTTCTGGGACCTGCAGTCCAAGAACACCTGAGTTACAGAAGGTTGGGAACCACTGCGCTAGAGGAAACATGAAATCTCTTATTTCATGTAATGGCCTACCATGATATCTATGTGCAACGCAAGCACTAACAAAGATCCCTTCATGTATATAGAGTAAGCACAAGGTGTACAGAAGGATTGTTATGGATCTTTTGGTTTTTTAAAAAAGGAAACTGTTAAACACAATATAAAATAAGCAAAGTTAATGTTTTATAAAGTAAGAACTGAAGGCACAAATAATTTATTTGGGACTTTACAGGCCACAATTATAAACTGTAAAGGTAAATCTTTCTTTTCGGAAATGAGAATGCTAAAAAAATATTATTTAGCAGTTTCATATATACTGAAAACAAAATGAAGGAAGACCTAGAAAAGACTAAAAGTGCTATTTTACCTGTTAAACTGGTAACTGCTTTCTGCATCAATCCAACAATCTATGTACTGGAGGTGGGGAGGAGAGAGAAACAGAGAACAGTAATTTGTATTACTGCTTAAATAATGTTATTTTCATGTATTTATAACTATAGCAACACATTTTATTAATTTTGAAAACAGCAATTTCTGTAGATCTATATTCATAAACTATTCTATTCTGAAAATGTTTAATATGCAAAAGATGACTGATAGGATAAAACATGTAGCTCTGGGGAGAATAAAAATTAAGTAGTAAGGAAAACCTGAAATTGTTGGTCAAAAGATACTGCAATATGAACTATTAGGTAGGTATGTGAGCCGTGACAGAACGATAATTGTTAGAACAATAATTCTATTTTTAAAAATGCACCTGAGTAGAATTAATGAATTCTGGATGTAATACTAAATTATATCTTTTCCAACTTAGATAGGGATGCCTTATTGCTTATTTAGCAAGTTCCTTGGATTTTAGAGGTGCCAGTCAATGTCCAGTTTGGACCATCATCAGCCCCCAGCTGCATACTTCTGCTTTTGAAAAAAAGTTATGTTTTTAGCCCCTACAGGATCAGAGATATAAGGCAAGAAAGGTAGCCAGTGCTTTGACTTGCTGTTTCTACCTTTTCCCCCAAAAATAAGACAGGGTCTTAAATAGTTTTGCTCCAAAAAAACGCATTAGGGCTTATTTACAGGGGATGTATAATTTTTTTCATGTACAACAATCTACATTTATTCATATACAGTCATGTCATCTTCTTCTGGTTGCTGCACAAAGCTGCACAATGGTGGAGAATCGGGTTTCACTCAACTAGGGCGTATTTTTGGGGTAGGGCTAATATTCCAAGCATCCTGAAAAAATCATGCTAGGGCTTATTTTCAGGTTAAGTCTTATTTTCAGGAAGCAGGGTAAAAGTCAAGACTTTTTGTATGATTAACTAATAATTGAACCCTTGCACATCTTCAGAGGCCTTTATACAGATATAAACAGAAGAAATGGGTAGATGTCAAAATTCTGAGAACATGTTTTATTTTTGCAAATAGCTGAGATCTGTTTGCAGCTGTACTTGCACTACTTTTATGCAAACAGTGGATAGAAAGCAATTAATCATAGCAATGAATGCTAGCTGGAGGTTTATGGGAAATGTAGTTCAAGAACTTTTCAAAGCTCTGATATTTTGCTTGTTACAACACTTCCAACTTTGGCAGGGAGTTGGACTCAATGAAGCTTGTGGAAGAGTGTTGACATCAGCAGGGGAGATTTTCATTCATTAAACACTTCCTCCTTTTGTCCTGCGGTTCATCCAACTGGAAGCAAAACTGCAAAATCTGATGGCAAAAATAGCAGTCATCACATTTCCCCCAAAAATAAGACAGGGTCTTAAATAGTTTTGCTCCAAAAAAACGCATTAGGGCTTATTTACAGGGGATGTATAATTTTTTTCATGTACAACAATCTACATTTATTCATATACAGTCATGTCATCTTCTTCTGGTTGCTGCACAAAGCTGCACAATGGTGGAGAATCGGGTTTCACTCAACTAGGGCGTATTTTTGGGGTAGGGCTAATATTCCAAGCATCCTGAAAAAATCATGCTAGGGCTTATTTTCAGGTTAAGTCTTATTTTCAGGAAGCAGGGTAAAAGTCAAGACTTTTTGTATGATTAACTAATAATTGAACCCTTGCACATCTTCAGAGGCCTTTATACAGATATAAACAGAAGAAATGGGTAGATGTCAAAATTCTGAGAACATGTTTTATTTTTGCAAATAGCTGAGATCTGTTTGCAGCTGTACTTGCACTACTTTTATGCAAACAGTGGATAGAAAGCAATTAATCATAGCAATGAATGCTAGCTGGAGGTTTATGGGAAATGTAGTTCAAGAACTTTTCAAAGCTCTGATATTTTGCTTGTTACAACACTTCCAACTTTGGCAGGGAGTTGGACTCAATGAAGCTTGTGGAAGAGTGTTGACATCAGCAGGGGAGATTTTCATTCATTAAACACTTCCTCCTTTTGTCCTGCGGTTCATCCAACTGGAAGCAAAACTGCAAAATCTGATGGCAAAAATAGCAGTCATCACATGACATTATTACCAGAAGCTCAAAGTCTATGGCAAGATATCTTTCTTTCTATAAGCAATGTACATGCCAGCTTTACCTGTTCCCACTCTCTACATGTTATTCTGAGGACAACCATGTAAGATCACCTTGGCAGAGAAGTAGTGACTGATCCAAGGATGTTATGTGCCACCAAATCAGATACAGCTTATAGCAACCCTAATAGGGATTACAATATATTAAAGGTCTGTTTTTAACTGAGCTTCCACAACTGAGTGGGAATTTGAACCTAGGCCTCCTAGTCCATCACTCTATCCACTGTACCACACAAGGTTGGTGTAGGTACAGTGATTTACGCCTCCACTCGACCCTGAATCCAGAATGCAGAATTTATGGCATTTATTTTATAGCATATTACAGGTTTTATCTTGTCTCTATTGCTTTTTGAAGTGAACACAAATCCATTCAGCCAAATCATCCTGGGATCTGGTACCCAATACTCCAGTGACGACAATCAACAGCCAGAGAATACTATCTGTGTGTTCATAAGGTTTGTGTAACTGTCCACAACTAATTGCAGTTAACTGACAAAGTGCTGGGGGACATCTTGAACAAGCATTTTATACCTAGAAACTACCATTAAGACCCCTGTTGACATTCAGTTATCCTTCCAGGGAGCACTGTTCAGTAGACTTAATACTTGTTCCCTGGTGCTTTGTTCCCAAGTATTTGAACATGTTCGGTGGCAGGATGGTTTATATTTGTTTTATTTTCATGGGTTGGAGTCCACCAATATGCATTACAATATTCTATATGTATTCTAATACAGTGGTGCCTCGCATAGCAATCGCTCCGTTTAGCGATGAAATCGCTTTGCGATGGACTTTTTGCCATCGCAAGAGTGATCGCTTTGTGATGGCCCCTATGGGGAAAATTCACTTTGCGATGATCGCAGGGGAGTGCTCCCCCACGATCATTGCAAAGGCCCGCCCGTCAGCTGTTCCAAAAAGCGAGCCCTTGGGCTGCTCCCGGAGAAGCACTTCTCCAGGACCAGCCCGAAGGCCCGCCCATCAGCTGTGGCTTTGGTGGTGGCTTCAGAAGCTCACTGGGGGGGCGGGCGAGAGCAAGGGGGATGGAGCGCGGCTGTCTCCAGCCAGCGAGGGCTCGGAGGCAGGCAGCCGGGAAGGGGCGCGCCACTCACCCCCAGCCAGCCAGCCAGCCAGCCAACACTGGACACCCAGTCTCCATGGCCGGGCGAGAGCGAGGAGGAGGGAGTGCAGCTGTCTCCAGCCAGCGAGGGCTCAGAGGCAGTTTCGCCATTTTCTGAGGTAACTTTGTTAGGATGCACATAATACACTGACTTAGGCTTGGGTAAATCAACCTTTTGACCCCCTTCTCTGACCTTAGCACTTTGTGAAATGAAATGGTCTTTCTCCCCACATCCAAAACAAGATCTGAAGTTTCTCTGTTCTGGGCTAAGGGTCTTATCTCCCTTCCC